CATTTTCAAAAGATGTCAGAAAATTATTCAAATTTTGGAGCACGTGTAATTTACATTATTCGACTAAAATTTTATTTATATATTTATAACATATTTCTATAACATGTTTATAATATATATATATATATATATATATATATTATTTTTACTATGCAAACAAATACAAGATTAGTTACAAATTGTTATTAGTCTGGCCTTCAAAAATAGATAATATTCAAGTGAGTATAACTTATTGAACATAATTTTTAGTAAAGCATTTTAAAACTGAAATCTCTACTTTCAAGATCAGTAATTGATATTTCGATTTGATTGATTTTTTATAAAGTTATAGGGATATAAATGGACATTAAAGATTCATTCTTTTGAAGGCTATAAACAGAATGTGCTTACGATATTATTTTTAATTCAAGCATAGAACTTCATAAATTTTTAGATTTGACGGATTTATATATCTATACTTCCGTAAAAGAAAGTCGGATTATTACTGATTTCAAAAATAGAGGCTTTAAGCTTTAAAATGTTTTTTGAAAAATCTGGCTAGGACTGTTTTTAATGAAGTTCCTCTATCTTGAAATTTGCTACTTCTCAACAAGATTATTTAAAATCACTTAAAAATTAAAGATGACACACGTACAGCCTCTGCAAAGAAAATTAATTTGGAAATGTGTTTAATACTTATACTTCAAACGAATTATATACAATATATAAACATATAAAAGTTGTGTGAATAAGATTACATTTTTACTTAATAACTGCTAAATTTTTATTTAATAACATTTTTGTCATTTATTTATTTTATTTGTTAATTGTTCTTATTGTTCAAAATTAAAATTTTTTAATGATAACAAAAATCTAAATTTTTTTTGGAAAAGTTCTTTAAATATTCAAAATAATTTGTGTTTCATAATGATTCATTGATTAGTAACAAAGATCTAAAATAAATATTTTGTTTATTTACTGGGCAATTAGTTCATGCTTTGCAATGTAACTATACATGAATAATCTTGAATACATGTAATTACATTAAAAATTGAGATTTTTGTCATTTATTTTATAATACATTTCCATACATTTTTATTAGAGCATTAAATTAAACAAATATTATTTATTAAAATAACTTACTCCAGATAGTATTGGGAGTACAAATAAATAAGTTTCCGCCGTTTGCAAAAGATGGCGCCACTAATAAACTATAATTAAAATCGTTTGATGTAAAACGACATATCGTAAGATTGGACATTCGGCAACATCATAACCTTCAAATATTAGCAATTTTGTATCAGCATATTTTTTTTTGTACGAAAATATCGAGTTTTGAGTCGAATAAGCGTCATTTGCGGGAACTTTTGATTTACTTCTTTAATTTGAAGAAATCTGCAGCTGAGGCTCATAGATTGCTTGTAGAAGCATATGGTAATGCTGCCTTAAGTGAGAGAAGTTGTCGTGAGCCGTTTCAAAAGTTTAAGAATGGTGAATTTGACGTCGAAGATAAAGAACGTAGCGGAAGGCCGAAAGTGTACGAAGACGGAATTGGAAATATTATTGGATGAAGATTTGTGCCAAACGCAAAAAGAACTTGCTCTTATATTAGGAATGACTCAACAAACAATTTCATATCGTTTGAAATCATTGGGAATGATTCAAAAGCAAGGGAATTGGGTTCCATATGAACTGAAGCCGAGAAACGTTGAACGCCGATTTTTCACATGTGAAATGCTGCTTGCCAGACATAAACGAAAGGGTTTTTTGCATTGTATCACTGGTGATGAAAAATGGATCCATTACGATAACCCAAAGAAGAAGAAATCATGGAGACCACCTGGCCATGCTTCAACATCGACAGCCAAGCCGAATATTCAAAAAAACTCATGTTGTGTATTTGGTGGGATCAGCTTGGTGTCGTGTATTATGAGTTGCTCAAACCGAACGAGAGACCATTACTGGGGCTCTCTACCGAACACAATTGATGAGATTGAGCCGAGCACTCAAGGAAAAACGCGCCCACTACTACTCCAGGCATGACAAAATTATTCTCCTGCATGATAATGCTCGATCACATGTTGCGGCGCCGGTCAAAACCTACTTAGAAACACTCAAATGGGAAGTTCTACTCTACCCGCCGTATTCTCCAGACCGTATTGCTCCTTCCACTTGTTCCGATAACGCATGGCCTGTCTTTGCAGCACTTCACATCATATGAGTAGCATTTCACATCATATGAAGATATCAAAAATTTTATCGATGATTGGATAGCCTTAAAAGATGAAGCGTTTTTCTGACGCGATATCCACATGCTACCAGAAAGACGAGAAAAAATAGTGACTAGCGATGGCCATTATTTTGAATAAAACATTATGTACTGTTCTTTCACAATAAATGCTTAATTTTTGATAAAAACGGCGGAAACTTATTCGTACTCCCAATAAATTGTTACCAAATTTGGCATATTATTTTTAAATGTGATAGAATAATCTGTATTTTTTTCATAATTTTGTTATCATTTTGAAAATTTGTATAAAACATCCTTAAAAAAGAACTAAATTCAAAAGTCATTCTCTTTGAAAAATGATCACGCAATGTTTGAAAAAGCTATTTTATTGTTCAAAGCATAATTTTCCATTGAAACCATTGAATCACATTTCTCTGTAAAAATTTTATTACAAACGGCGCTTATCTAAAGTGAATAAAATTTAAAAATCTTATAAAATTAAAAAATAAATTTCAATTTTGATGATGTGTACGAGATAAACAAAAATTTTTTTCTGCAAGTTTCTTCAATTGTATCGTAAGTACGATTTTCACTGAAATAATTATTTGAAGTGTTCCTGAAAATTCATTGCTCACTTTAAATCGTTACACTTCTATGTAGTGTAATGATTAAAAAATAATTTTAAATATAAAATGTTTAAGCCTATGATATAATTGAAGAAATTTGTAAAAAAAATTTGCTCCGTGCACACCATCAAAGTTTATGTTTGAATTTTACAAGGTTCACTTTAGATTAGCGCCATTTGTAATAAAATTTTTACAGCGAAACGTGATTCAATACTTTCAAAAGTTATGCTTTGAACAATAAAACGTTTAAATAGTTTCCATTTATATATTACATATGTATGTAGCTATTTGAAATGCTCGCCGAATATTTTTTCGGACTTAGGTTGTATTCCAAATTCAATTATCAGTGCCGAAAATCTACAATCTACGTTACATATACTATACATTTTTAGCAAAATGACAATGAATTTTGGAACACATCCAGAAACGCAACTAAACTACTGCCCAAATAGCCATAGTGCAATATATAAGGTGAAGCATTCCCATGGATGCGCAGTAGGAGAATGAATTTGAGCACAAATTTGATTGATCGTTTCCATGCTATCGCCATTATGCGTGATGCTTCAACTTGTGTATTTATACCATGACCTACAATTTGTTTGAAACTACTTTGCTTAAGTTGCTTTCAATATTTAAGAAAACAACTTCCGATTTTCCTATTAGATTGCCTAATTTTATTGCCATTAATTCTTATGAGCAATTCGATGGCAACAGTTGCCTTCTTATAAATCAATCATATAATAAGTTGTTAGAAATCATAGGGCAACATGATGGAAACAGTTTCCGCCTAA